GAAGAAGAAGAAGAAGAAGAAGAAGAAGAAGAAGAAGAAGAAGAAGAAGAAGAAGAAGAAGAAGAAGAAGAAGAAGAAGAAGAAGAAGAAGAAGAAGAAGAAAGGTTAAAGCGCTTAGGGCTCTTTAGCTTGGAGAAACGATGACTGAGGGGTGACATGATCGAGGTTTATAAGATTATGCATGGGAAAGAGCAGGTAGAGAAAGAGGTACTTTTCTCCCTTTCTCACAATACAAGAACTCGTGGGCACTCCATGAAACTGCTGAGCGGTCGGGTTAGAACCGATAAAAGGAAGTACTTTTTCAACCAAAGAGTAATAAACACATGGAATTCACTGCCACAGGAAGTGGTGGGTGCTACAAGCATGGACGGCTTCAAAAGGGAATTAGATAAGCATATGGAGCAGAGGTCCATCAGTGGCTATTAGCCACAAGGTATAGATAGGGGCTCTGGGGCAAGTGATGCTCTGTCTTCTTGGTGCTTGGGGGGGTCAACAGTGGGAGGGCTTCTAATGTCCTGGCCCCACTGGTGGACCTCCTGATGGCACTGGTATTTCTGGCCACTGTGTGACACAGAGTGTTGGACAGGATGGGCCTTTGGTCTGATCCAACATTGGCATCTCTTATGTTCTTATGTAAGAAGAAGAAGAAGAGGAGGAGGAGGAAGTTGGATTTATACCCTGCCCTTCATTACCTGAATGAATCTGAGCAGCTTACAATCCCTTCCCCTCCCCACAATAGACACCCTGTGAGGTAGGTGGGGCCGAGAGAGCTCTTTCAAGGACTGCTCTTGAGAGAACAGCTCTGAGAGAACCCAAGGTCACACCAGCAGCTGCATGTGGAGGAGTGGGGAATCAAACCTGGTTCTCCCAGATTAGAGTCCACATTCTTAACCCCTATTCTCTGTTCACATGATGTAGCCCTGTGGGTGTCTGCGTACGTGTTCCGTGTCTATCCCTCACACAGTGTGGAGAGAAACTGACATTCCCTTGGTACAAATGGGCAAGATATATGTTGTATCAACTTGTTGTGTTGCAGAGTGTTCCTTAAAAAACTGAAGCCTTATGTGAAGCCCGCAACCCTTTCGCCAAGCGACGCACCGATGCAAAACCCTGTCCCAACTCTGCCATCAAATCCCAACTGTGCACTGACGTTCCCGTTGTGCAAAAACGAGCACACGCTATGAACAGGCACATCGTGTTTCTGGATGAGATCGAAAGCCAGCTAGACCAAGCGTGTCTTTCCAGCTGCAGCTCCCTGATGCCTCTGGCAGTGCCTGGCATCCCAAGGTGCCCCTGCAGGGGCATGGCAGGTCGGGCACCCTGGATGCTGGAGCGTGGACAGGCAGGAGGAACCTGTCGGTGAGGGATGCTGCCTACAGTGGCTACGCCCATGCAGAGACGGGAGAGCGAAGGAAGACGAACAGAGAAAGTCAGAACAGGACGAACAGCATTCATGTCATGCTCAGCTGACGGTGGCGCAACGACCCTGGCTCAGTCGCTGCCTCTTCATTCATGAGCCTACAGCAACCAGACTGGCTCCCGGATTTAAATTTAACCCAGCGGGGTTGAGATGAGTCACCCCGTATTGTTAGCAGCCGCGTGGATACGAAGGGAAAGTTTCAGGTCAGAGGGCGGGGCATGAGGAAGCAAACACTCAAAAGAAACCGGGAGGGTTTCCAATGCTCCCTCTGAGTGCCGGAGTCTTGTGAGCAAGAGTTCTACTCTGTGAGCGACTGGCATTAAAGTTGAGAGCGAGCGATGTGGCTGCTGCATACATTAGGTTGCTCTGGAGCCCTCCTTCCTGAGCTGAGACAAAAATGTGTGCGCCGGAGGCTATGAAACTGTGAGCTAGCTCACACTGACTCAGCTTAGAGGGAACACTGACGGTGCCCCTCGATGCCCTGTGGATGGAAGTAGAGTTGAGTGAACAAAAAGCCTTTGGAACACGAGGAATGGCCACGCTGGATCAAACCCAGGTCTAGAATTCTGTTTCCAGTGGGAAACAACAGAATGCCCCAGAATGTTTGCAAACAGAAGTACAGTTGCCAACTCTGGGATGGGAAATGTCTGGGGATTTGGGGGGTGGAGCCTGGGGGCAGTGGGGTTTGAGCAGGGGAGGGACCTCAGCAGGATATAATACCATAGAGATGGCCCTCCAAAACTGCCGTTTTCTCCAGGGGACCTGATCTAAGTAGTCCGGATATCAGTTGAAAATCCAGGAGATCTCCAGGCCCCGCCTGGAGTTTGGCAACCCTAAGCAGTGCTCAGAGCTGTCACTTATCCCCATGATGTTGTTCCTGCCATTATATTCAGAGGTACATGGCATCCTTACAGAGGGGTCCCATGCAACGCTCCCTCTAAGCCGTGCAGTCTTGTGAGGGAAAATTCTACTTTATGAGCTGCTGGCATTAAAGCTGTGAGCGAGCGGTTTGGCTGCTGTATCAATTAGTCTGCTCTGGAGCCCTCCTTCCTGAGCTGAGATGAAAATGTGTGAGCCGGAGGCTAAAAAGCTACGAGCTAGCTCACAAGAACTCAGCTTAGAGGGAACACTGCGTCCCATGTTCAGGTATCTCAGCTGAAACCTGCCAACAGAGAGGTTGTCAGTTTGGTGTCGTGGTTAAGTGCGCGGACTCTAATCTTGGAGAACAGGGTTTGATTCCCCACGCCTCCACTCACAGCTGCTGGATGACCTTGGGCAAGCTGTAGCTCTGATAAGAGCTGTTCTTGAAATAGAGCAGTCTCTGTCAGAGCTCTCTCAGCCCCACCTCCCTCACAGGGTGTCTGTGGTGGGGAGGGGTGCAGGCAGAGTCTAATCTGGGAGAACTGGGCTTGATTCCCCACTCCTCCACTTGCAGCCAGCTGGATGACCTTGGGCAAGCCATAGTTCTGTCAGAGCTGTCCTTGAAAGGGCAGTTTCTGTCAGAGCTCTCTCATCCCTGCCTACCTCACAGGGTGTCTGTGGTGGGGAGGGGAAGGGATGGGAGTTTGTGAGCCGCTCTGAGACTTCTTCTTTTCTGCTGAATTTTTTTTTAAAGTAGCGGCACCCTGACTTGGATGTCCCAGGCTCATCTGATCTTGTCAGGCCTCAGAAGCTAAGCAGAGTCACCCTGGTCAATACTTGGGTGGGAGACCACCAAGGAAGTCCAGGGTTGCTGAGCAAAGACAGGCCATGGCAAACCATCTCTTGCCTTGGAAACCCTCCGACGTCACCATAAATTGGCTGCGACTTGATGGCAAAAGAAACAAAGAAAAGGTAGTGGCCAGGGGTTTTTTTGTAGAAAAAGCCCAGCAGGAACTCATTAGCATAATAGGCCACACCCAACAGCAGAAACTCAATAGCATATTGAGCCACAACCTGACCGCACAGCTCCTTAACACCAGAAGTGTGCTCATCCAGCCACACCCACCTTTTGCTTCTTATTCTGTTTACCTTGTTTGTTGTCAAAACCCAGGGCTTTTTCTGTAGCAGGAACTCCTTTGCATGTTAGGCTACACACCCCTAATGTAGCCAATCCGAATGAGTTTCTGCTGTTGGGTGTGGCCTATTATGCTAATGAGTTCCTGCTGGGCGTGGCCAACTCAGGAGCCACCCTGTGCGTTCCTGCCCAAAAATAGCCCTGGTAGTGGCTGTTCCTATAGATTTTGTTGCGTTCTGCTCTTTCTCCCTGGAACTCAGACCAGCACTGACTGGCCCGGTCACTCAGCGAGTCTCATGTCTGAGGTCAAGTCTAGACCTCTCCCTGTTCCTGGTGTGATCCTCAAACTGCTCTGACAGTGCAATCCTAAAAAGAATTACACCTTTCTAAGCCCACTGACGGGGCTGCAGTGGCTGAACTGCAGACCAGAAGGTGGGTAGTTCGGCAGTTCGAGACCCGAGTGCCGCATGATGGAGTGAGCCCCCGCCTCTGCCCCCAGCTCCTGCCAACCTAGCAGTTCGAAAGCAAGAAACTGCAAGTAGATTAATAGGTACCGCTTCGGTGGGAAGGTGACAGCATTCCGTGCACCTCGGCATCTAGTCATGCCAGCCACATGACCACGGAAACGTCTTCGGACAGCGCTGGCTCTTCGGCTTGGAAACGGAGATGAGCACCGCCCCCTAGTGTCGGATTCGACTGGCTTTCGAGCAAGGGAAACCTTTACCTTTAAGCCCACTAAAGTCGACTCTGTTTAGGAAGGCCCTGCGATTATTGTGTCTAGTGGCAGTGAGTGCCCTAGGTGAATGATGTCAACCCTGGGGCTATGACTCAGCAGCTGCATTGGGTGACCCTCCACTTAGCGTTATAAGAAAGGGAGAAAGTTTTATCTGAGTAGCATCTGGCTTGCACTCAGCCCGCACCAGGACTACAGATCTTGTTGTTCCCTGGCAGAGCGTGGCATCATCACAAACTAGACCCTGGGCGACGGCGACAAAAGTCTCTTTTGTTCCCCGGCTTGCGAGACAAAGATAGCGACTGTGTGGCTTCCACTGGCATCTGCAGTGGGTGGGGATGCCAGGCGGATCCCGGACTTTTCACAGAAGGGCGGGGAACGGGAACGATATTTCTTGCTGACCGGCTGGAATTTAGCTGTGTTCCCCCCCCCTCCCGGCGATGCCAGTCGGAGAGCAAGCAAATCCCTCGCTAATCGGGCAGGCCATGTGGAATGGTGCAGATCGGGGAGCAGGGACAATAAAACACCTGACATCACGGTTCCAGAGGGTTCAGCCGGGGCAAGGCCTGCTGCCGGACAGGGTATAAAACCCCGGCTCTCGCCTGGCGGGACCAGCACCGCTGCCCAGCGTCTCCTCTTGGACCGATCCAGATGGATATCACCGTTCACCATCCTCTCTTCCGCAGGCCCCTTGTGTCCGCCCTGTCGCCCAACCGCCTCTTCAGCCAGGCCTTCGGAGAACACCTCGTGGAAGCTGAGCTTTTCCCCAGCACCTCGGCGCTCAGCTCTTTCCTCTTGAGACCCTCCCTCTTAAGGCTCCCCACCTGGCTAGAGAGCAGATTCTCAGAGGTAACGTTCCTTGTTCCTGGTTAAACACACTTTAGCAGGTTCCCACCCCCAGCAGTCATGGACCCAGGACTACCGGTCACGGTCACAATCCCTGTCTTTATTGATTAATTAAGAGAGCCAGTTTGGTGTAGTGGTTAAGCGTGCGGACTCTAATCTGGGAGGACCGGGTTTGATTCCCCACTCCTCCACTTGCAGCTGCTGGTGTGACCTTGGATCAGTCACAGTTCTCTCAGAGCTGTTCTCTCAAGGACAGTTCTGGAAAGAGCTCTCTCGGCCCCACCTACCTCACAGGGTCTCTGTTGCGGGGAGGGGAGGGGAAAGGAGATTGTAAACCACTCTGAGACTCCTTCGGGTAGTGAAGGGCGGGGTATAAACCCAATCTCTTCCCTTCTTCTTAATTAAGAGCCAGTTTGGTGTAGTGGTTAAGTGCGCGGACTCTAACCTGGGAGAACCGGGTTTGATTCCCCACTCCTCCACATGCAGCTGCTGGTGTGACCTTGGATCAGTCACAGTTCTCTCAGAGCTGTTCTCTCAAGGACAGTTCTGGAAAGAGCTCTCTCGGCCCCGCCTACCTCACAGGGTGTCTGTTGTGGCGAAGGGAAGGGAAAGGAGATTGTAAGCCACTCTGAGACTCCTTCGGATAGTGAAGGGTGGGGTATGAATCCAATCTCTTCTTTTTCTTAATTAATCCTTCTTGACCTCTTTAACAACTGATTTGTTGGATTTTTAGATCAAGGTTAAGGTAAGAATCTGTGATGTTAACGTGGCTGTAAAAGAGAGAAGCAATACTGTGTTGTGGGGAGGGTGTTGGTCGAGGATCTGGGAGACGCAGGTTCGAATCCACACTGGTGCCATGGAAGCTCGCTGGGTGATCTTGGGCCAGTCACACCCTCTCCACCTAACCTGCCTCGCAGGGATGTTGTGAAAATAAACTGGAAGAGAGCAGAGTGATGTCAGCTACTTGGGGTGCCCACTGGGGAAAAAGGTGGAGAATTCAGATGAACAAAGTTCAGTGAATAAATAGATTTTAAAAAATTAAAATGACAAAATCAACCTACAAAAATTGGTAACAATAAGCGCCATCTGCATTCCCTCTTTTCATGGCTACTAAAAGCAACTCTTTCCACCAGCAGTAATGAGAACTGTTTTTAGACTGGAACTGGAGCCCTATGAACACAGGCAAGAACCAAAAGGCGAAAAAGAGCCATTTCAAGTTTGTAGGGAGAGTCAGCCTTCAAATGACAGACCCAGGAAATGAAAGCAAAAATCGAGTTCCAGAATTGCTTGTGGAAAAGGCCTTACCTTGGGCCTAATTTCCGCACTGGGAAACCGAACGAGCCCATTGAAATGAGTGGGCGCTGCACGAGAGGGTTTGTTTCAATGGTACAAGAGAACTTCTGAGGGGATCGGGTCCGCCACATCTGAAAGACGGCCAGGTTAAAGTTGAAGCAGGTTTCCAAAGTGGGATGACGCCACAGTCTTGGAAACACAACAAGTATCCTCAGGGCTTTTTTTTTAGAAAAAGCCCAGCAGGAACTCATTAGCATAACAGGCCACACCCACAGCAGAAATCCATTAGCATATTAGGCCACACCCCTGACAGCACAGCTCATTGGCATATTAGGCCACACCCTCATGTTGCCAGAAGTGTGCTCATCCAGCCACACCCACCTTTTGCTTCTTATTGTTTACCTTCTTTGTTGTCCAAACCCAGGGCTTTTTTGTAGCAGGAACTCCTTTGCATGTTAGGCCACACACCCCTAATGTAGCCAATCCTAATGAGTTTCTGCTGTTGGGTGTGGCCTATTATGCTAATGTGTTCCTGCTGGGTGTGGCCAACTTGGAAGCCAGCCGGAACTCCGTTCCTGTGCGTTCCTGCCCAAAAATAGCCCTGAAGAGGGCAGTTGACTGTCTACCTGTTTATTATGTCAGATCCCAAACACAGAGGGCAGTTGACTGTCTACCTGTTTATTATGTCAGACCAGCGGTGCATCCAATTCAGCATTCACACAGTGGCCAATTGGATGCCCCTACAAGGCCCGCCAGCAAGGCTGATCAGAGGCCAGAACCGGCCCCTCTTATTGCCCCGTGGTAAATGGTGGTCAGCGGGTTGCTTCCTCTGAAAGTGGAGGTTCAGGCAGATGGCCTTGTCTCGTTCTCTTTTAAAGCCAGCAAAATTAGTGGCCACGATGGTGAAGACATTAATTGTTCGTGCAGTATTGCCTTCATTACTCTCTCTGTGACTGCGGTTTCCTTCCCCACAGACCGCTTTTCTATTTTTGCATTACGGTGCTTGCTTCTTATGATCTGCATCTTGCCCCATGGGTTTTTATGTCCAATGACGGCTGATTTGCAGAGGGTAAGGCATACGTTGTTGCACTTGCCTGCTGAGAAATTCATCCTATTATTTCCACATTTCTATTTAGAGACTTGGCTTGTGGAGTGCTTACTCCCCAGGGCAGATACTCTGCCGAACTTCTTCTGTCTTGAGTTTCCGTTCAGGCACACAACCCAGGTGTGGTGCTGGTACGGAGAAGCCGTCACACGCAAGCCAGGATGTTTGGTTTGGGTGATGGCGGCAATGTTCCCTCTAAGCTGTGGAGTCCCATGAGCCAAAATCCTATTTTGTGAGCGACAGGCATTAAAGTTGTGAGCAGGTGATTTGGCTACTGCATCAATTAGTTGGCTCTGTAGCCCTCCTTCCTGAGCTAAGACAAAAATGTGTGAGCTGGAGGCAAAAAAACTGTGAGCTAGCTCACACTAACTCAGCTTAGAGGGAACACTGGTGATGGGCCGGACCTTCATTTTGGGGATGAGGAACAGCCAGTTCCTGGGTCCCCAGCCTTTTTCAGCCTGCGGGCACTCTTGCAATTCTGACACGAGACGGTGGGCACAGCCACAAAATGGCTCTCACAAAATGGCTGCCCCAGGTGGAGGCAGTCACAAAATGGCTGCCCTGGCTTACCTTTAGCCACACAGTGAAGATCCTTGTGCTGTGGTGGCAGCCAATCAAATCTTCAGTGGCCAATCAGAAGCTCTGCTGGGCAACTGGCCAAAGACCCAACAGACCCCAACCATTTTCTAAAAACACTTCACAAGCATGGCACCCAGGGGCACTACAATGGGGACTCCTAAGCTAGAGGTCTATTCTGAGCTCTAAGTTTATCAACAGGACCATGTGGCTCAGTGGCAGAGCGTCTGCTTGGTATGCAGAACGTCCCTGGTTCAATTCCCGGCATCTCCAATTAAAAAGGACCAGGCGGTAGGAGATGTGAAAGGCCTCTCTGCCTGAGACCCTGGAGAGCTGCTGCCAGTCTGTAAGACAGAAACTCCGTCACGGGCAGTGTTCCCTCTAAGCTGAGGATTCAGTATAAGGCAGCTTCATGTGTTCCTGTGTCATGTGTTCTCCGTGGCTTACACTGAAAAATTTTGGGGCTGCCATATTCTGAACACCCTGTGGACAGACATCTTAGTCAGGCATTCTCCTCATTTTGCTACATCCAGGACACACAAAGCTGCCTTCTAGTGGTGTTGGTCTATCGCAGTGGTTCTCAACCTTCCTAATGCCGCGACCCTTTAATACAGTTCCTCATGTTGTGGTGACCCCCAACCATAAAATTATTTTCGTTGCTATCATAAGACCATCGGAAATTTGTGTTTTCCGATGGTCTTAGGCGACCCCTGTGAAAGGGTCATTTGACCCCCAAAGGGGTCGCGACCCACAGGTTGAGAACCGCTGGCCTATCGAGATCAACATTGGCTACTCAGCAGCTCTCCAGTATGCACTACCAGGAACTCCATCTTGGGTAGACCCAGTTCCGTAACTATTTGTTTGACGTCTGACGCCCAGCTGTTGTGAGCGTTTCAACACACATGAAACGTTTTTTTTATCAGTACGATTGCCCTAACCAGACTGTTTTGTCAGCAGATGCGACTGGATAAGGACAAGTTCTCTGTAAATGTGGACGTGAAGCATTTCTCTCCCGAGGAGTTAAAAGTCAAGGTTCTTGGAGATATGATCGAAGTCCATGGGAAACACGAGGAACGACAGGTCAGTGGGGGTCGAGGCTCTAGGCCGGGAGGTGGGGGCGAGGGCGGGAGGAAAAGCAGAGCAGAGCCTTTTGAAACAAGGATGCCCATCAAAGACGGAGATGTCGGCACTGCTCTGTTATCCCTTGCTTGTAAGGGCCTTGAGAGCCAGTTTGGTGTCGTGGTGAAGTGCAGGCGGACTCTAATCTGGGAGAACCGGGTTTGATTCCCCCACTCCTTCGCTTGCACCTGGCTGGATGACCTTGGGCAAGCCGTAGTTCTGATAAGAGCTGTTCCTGGAAAAGAGCAGTTTCTGTCCAGAGCTCTCTCAGCCCCACCTACCTCGCAGGGTGTCTGTTGTGGGGAGGGGGAAGGGAAAGGAGTCTGTAAGCCGCTCTGAGACTCCTCTGGGTAGTGAAGGGCGGGGTATAAATCCAATCTCTTCTTCTTCTTCGTAAGCCTGGTTCACACAAGCAGGAGAAAGAGGGGGTAGAACACTGAGGAACACACTGTGCCTCTTCAGACTGCAGACAGAGGGGTATGGGGAATCGCACGTCGCCACACTCCCCTCTGTTGAAACCCCCCTGCAAAGCGAACAACAGCGCAGCAGACAAAACTCTCTCTTGCGCTAGATTCTCACTTGCAGGGACCAACGCTCCCTCCAAGCTGTGGAGTCTTGTGAGCAAAAATTCTACTTTGTGAGCTACCGGCCTTAAAGCTGTGAGCGAGCGATTTGGCTACCGCATGAATTAGTTTGCTCTAGAGCCATCTGTCCTGAGCGGAGACAAAAATGTGTGAGCCGGAGGCTAGAAAAACTGTGAGCTAGCGCACACTAACTCCGTTTCGAGGGAACCCTGGCAGGGACCTTTAGAAGAGAAGGAACCTTCGAAGTTGTAATCCACCATCTGCTGTGGTTTCGTTTGGGTTGCCACTTCTGGGAAGGAAAATACCTGATTTGGGGGGTGGGGGTGTGGATGTTGGGGAGGAGAAAGAGCTCAGCTGGTATAATACCACACAGTCCCCCTGCCAAAGTTGCCATTTTCTCCAGGGAAACTGATCTCTATAGGTTGGACGGCTTCAAAAGGGAATTAGATAAGCATATGGAGCAGAGGTCCATCAGTGGCTATTAGCCACAAGGTATAGATAGGGACTCTGGGGCAAGTGATGCTCTGTCTTCTTGGTGCTTGGGGGGGGTCAACAGTGGGAGGGCTTCTAGTGTCCTGGCCCCACTGGTGGACCTCCTGATGGCCCCTGGTATTTCTGGCCACTGTGTGACACAGAGTGTTGGACTGGATGGGCCTTTGGCCTGATCCAACATTGGCATCTCTTATATTCTTATGGAGGTCAGTTGTAATTTGGGAGTTCTGCAGGCCCCACCTGGTTTCTCCCCATCGCAAAAGCCATGTGTCAGGTCCAATGCTCCCTCTAAGCCGTGGACTCTTGTGAGCAAAAATTCTACTTTGTGAACCACTGGCATGAAAGTTGTGAGCCAGCGATTTGGCTGCTGCATAAACTAGTTTGCTCTCCAACCCTCCTTCGTGCGCTAAGACAAAAATGTGAGAGCCGGAGGCTAAAAAATTGTGAGCTTAGGGGGAACACTGGTCTGGTCCTGTGTCTGCAGGCTGCGGACTGGGTGCAGATGAGTCCTCCAGTACTTTTTTGCTAGGGAGGTTCACAGTGGCCTCCGATAATGCGGGAGGAGGGGGGGCTGGCAGACACGTGAATCCCTCTCTCCTGCTCGCGGGTTCCCTGTTGCTCTCCCTAGCCCTCTGGGTCTCTCCCAGAAGCTTTTCCTCCCTGGCCAGCTGTAATCCAGCCGCAAGCCTGGGAGACGCTGGCAAGGCCTCCCTGAGCCGCAAGACGCTTTTAACTGCTTTTTCTTTTGACAACCCTCTGGCTCCCTTCAAGGTCTGTGAGTGCAGGGGTGGGGCTGGGACCTTCACACCAGGACACCGTGGCTCAGTGGTGCAGCATCATCTTGGCATGCAGAAAGTCCTAGGTTCAATCCCTGGCATCTCCAGTTTTTTTTAGAAAATCTGGCACTAGGTGATGCGCAAGACCCCTGCCTGGAGAACTGCTGCCAGTCTGAGTAACAACACTGACTTTGACACACATCAACACATGGGATTCACTGCCGCAGGAGGTGGTGGCAGCTACAAGCATGGACGGCTTGTAGATAAACATATGGAGCAGAGGTCCATCAGTGGCGATTAGCCACAAGTAGGGAACACACACAAAATGTTTTTTTTATCAGTACGATTGCCCTAACCAGACTGTTTTGTCAGCAGATGCGACTGGATAAGGACAAATTCTCTGTAAATGTGGACGTGAAGCATTTCTCTCCCGAGGAGTTAAAAGTCAAGGTTCTTGGAGATATGATCGAAGTCCATGGGAAACACGAGGAACGACAGGTCAGTGGGGGTCGAGGCTCTAGGCCCGGAGGTAAAAGCAGAGCAGAGCCTTTTGAAACAAGGATGCCCATCAAAGACGGAGATGTCGGCACTGCTCTGTTATCCCTTGCTTGTAAGGGCCTTGAGAGCCAGTTTGGTGTCGTGGTGAAGTGCAGGCAGACTCTAATCTGGGAGAACCGGGTTTGATTCCCCCACTCCTCCACTTGCACCTGGCTGGATGACCTTGGGCAAGCCATAGTTCTGTCAGAGCTGTTTCTTGAAAAACAGCAGTTTCTGTCAGAGCTCTCTCAGCCCCACCCACCTCACAGGGTGTCTGCTGTGGGGAAGGGAAGGGAAAGGAGTCTGTAATCCGCTTCTAGAGTCCTGGCCCCACTGCTGGACCTCCTGATGGCCCCTGGTGTTTTTGGCCCCTGTGTGACAGAGTGTTGGACTGGATGGGCCATTGGCCTGACCCAACACTGGCTTCTTATGTTCTTATGATGGATTGATGGTCTGATTTGGCATAAGGCAGCTTCATGTGTTCATGGTTGGAGAATACACGCGGCTAGATGGGTATGGGATTGGTCAGTGCTTGCGTGGCAGGAATTCTGTGTACACCGTCTTGGAAAACCACAAAATGACACATTTGGTTTAACTGTCTCCCCCCCCCAACAAGGATGAACAAGGCTTCGTAGCCAGAGAGTTCAACAGGAAATACAAGATCCCAGGTGATGTGGATCCCCTCTCCATCACTTCCTCCCTCTCTTCTGATGGTGTCCTGACGGTGAATGGACCAAGAAAACCAACGGAGATGCCGGAGCGCACCATCGCCATCACCCGGGAGGAAAAACCTGCCCTAGCGGGCGGACAAAGGAAGTAAACAGCTCATTGAGACCCACTCTTTTATATCCAAGAAAGCCTTTCTGTCTGTACGCAGCAAGCAGTCCCACCGACCGGCTGCTCTTATTTATTTGTGCTAAGATCCGCAGATGAGCTTGTTTACTGACAAATAAACCAATGTATAAGCACCTGCTGGCCTCTTCCTTCAGCGTTAGGGGCTGGCCTCGTCAAAGGGGCAAGGTGGTCTCCAACATTATGCACGGTGGGAAGACAGCAGATAGAAACTTTTCTCCTTCTCCCATAATACCAGATCACCCCATGAAACTGACTGGCAGCAGATTCAGGACAGGCAAAAGGAAATGCTAATTCATACCATGGGCACAGCTGACTTGCGGAACTTAGGGCCACGAGATGGGGTGGTGGAAAGGTGCTTTAGATGGGCTGCAAAGGGGCTTAGATTTATGGCGGAGAGATCTAACGTTGGCTATTGGCCATGGTAGCTAAATGGGTCCTCTGGGTTCAGAAGCAGAAAACCTCTGATCGTCAAATGCTGGGGAATAGTTGTAAGTGAGGGATATCGCCTTCGGTGTGGCATCTGACGGGTCAAAGCTGGAAACGGGATGCTGGGTTAGATGAAGCGTTGGTCTGAACCAGCATGGCTAATTCAATATTCCTCTGAATAACTCTGAGTGACTGAGCAAGCACAGGGTTCCATTCACTTACCACAGACAGCCAAACATTTTATTTAAAAAATCCAGGTTCTTCGACCGTTGGCTGCAAAACTAAACAGAATTTAATAGCCAGTAAGCTAGGATGTCAAACAGTTTTTCACAGATAGAAAAAGAGCAGTAGAGGCATTGGGTCACAATTGCTAGTGAGAATCTTCTTTCCACTTGGGGGGGGCACTTCCTTTTAATGACAACCGCAGTCTGTGATGCTGCACAGCAGCCTAGCCTTGGGTGGGTGGGGAGTAATCGGGTCACGTGAGCAGGGCGTTCCAAACCAGGTGTCTTGAGGCCTCTCCCCATGCTTACTGCTTCGGCTGAGTCTCTTCTGGCTCCTTGGGCGTCTCTTCAACCACCAGGGAGGGTCCCTTGCCACGTGGGGTCTCATAGTCTATCATGTAGCATGACCGAGCAGTTCGCTTGACCGGAGGAGGCTCCAGCTCTGGCTGGTGTCCAGGGAACCAGTGAGGTTCTCGTATAACTCCTAAGAGCAGGGAAACGCAAGGGGTAAGCACACGCTGCGGGCTAACTAGGTAAAAGGCAACTGCTGCCTTAGCTTCTAGTAAGCTGAAGTCCCGAGATCATGCAACTGCAATTTACAAAAAGCCAAACAGGCCGTCCTGCTGGACCACAAGAGCATTTGGGGGGGGGGGGCGCGAACCAGCTGATACTGGTTATTCACCTCTTTAGGTGTATGGGCAGTTGTTGGTTTTGCTCAGCTGAAGGTAGGCAGCACCTGCACATCTTGTATCTGCCTCAGATTTGGGTTTTTCAGGTATCAAAGAGAACAGGAAGGGGGTTTGACTTCAGCTAGAATCTACAAAAACACTACAAAGTACTGAGCAAGCTCCTATGTCCACAGAACCCTTCTTCGGACTGGATGTTAGACAAGAAGGGGGGGGACAGGAAGTAGGTGTAGCTGGACATGATGTTAAAAGTCCCAGTTTGAAGTTGGTAGGGATCTGATGACGGGAGTGGAGACGGTGGCCCATTCTGCGTCTAGCATTTGCTCTGCCGTTTTACCAAACCCATGTTGGAACAGAAATCCCCCTCTACGTTGCTTTCACTTTGTTTGATCTCTTGGTTTTATGGTAGCCGTATGGATAGATTTATGGCTGTTTTATGGCCGTTGGGGGGGTGATTCTGCAGTCAGTACGGCATTGGCCTGGGATAACTGAATGTGGTTTTGAGCTGCATCTTTTTCTGTTCCAGTGTGGGTTTGGTAAGACAACGGAGTGAATGCTAGATGCAGACTGGGCCACTGTTCAGAAGATTTAAAGTGCTATCTTGCGTGGAGTAACACCCTTCTAAGTCCACTAAAACCAGTGGGCTTAGGAGGACGTCTCTGTGTCTAGGATTGCACGTATGGGCAAAAAAGATGTCATTGCACCAAAGGCTACAGGAAGAAAGAAGTCTTGGCTGGTCTCCCTTTGAACACCTAAAAACCTGCCATTATTCAGAGAATACCCATTTTCTGCTTTTCGTACCATGCACTCTCTCTTGTGCGCTGGTATCCATCAGTCACTAAACAGAAGGTTCAGGTTCAGTGGCACCTGAAAGACCAACAAGATCTCCCCAGGGGACAAACTTTCCAGAGACAGAGCCCCCCTTGTCAAATACAAGAAGGAAGGGAGACCCCACCTTCTCCAAGGCTCCCTCTAAGCTATGGAGTCCTCTGAGCAAAAATTCTACTTTGTGAGCTACCGGCATTAAAGCTATGAGCGAGCGATTTGGCTACTGCATAAATTAGTTTGCTCTGGAGCCACCCTTCCGGAGCTAAGACAAAAAAATGTGTGAGCCGGAGGCTAAAAAATTGTGAGCTAGTTCACACAGACTCAGCTTAGACGGAACACTGCTTCTGACTGGGGTATAAGACCTCAGTGGTCTCCGGATGATGATCCCTTTTCTCCCTTTCTCACAATACAAGAACTCCTTGTGGGCACTCAATGAAATTGCTGAGCAGTCGGGTTAGAACGGATAAAAGGAAGTCCTTCTTCACCCAAAGAGGGATGAACACGTGGGATTCACTGCCACAGGAGGTGGTGGAGGCTACAAGCATGGACAGCTTCAAGAGGGAACTGGATAAACATATGGAGCAGAAATCCATCTGTGGCTATTAGCCACAAGGTATAGAGAGGAACTCTCAGTCTGGGGCAAGGGATGCTCTGTCTTCTTGGTGCTGGGGGGCAACAGTGGGAGGGCTTCTAGTGTCCTGGCCGCACTGCTCGACCTCCTGATGGCACCTGGTATTTTTGGCCACTGTGTGACACAAGAGTGTTGGACTGGATGGGCCATTGGCCTGATCCAACACTGGCTTCTCTTATGTTCTTATGAAGGGAGCTTTGACTCTTAAAAGCTTGTCCCCTGGAGATCTTTTAGGTGCTACTGAATTAAAATCTTGCTCTCCTACTGCAGATCAACACGGCCTCCCACCTGAAACTTACTAAATAGACACAACGCTCCTGAATAACTGACAGTTTGGAGGCGGCGTAACAGAGAAGTGGAGATCGAATAAGTTCCCTGGTACATCTGGCTGCATCCCATTGGGGGGTTAGTCTTATTGTTCTACAACCTCTTTTTAGGGCATCGCACTTTGATCCCTTGGCTCTTTGTTGGTATCACCAGTGTTCCCTCTAAACTGAGTTAGTGTGAGCTAGCTCACTGTTGTTTAGCCTCTGGCTCCCACATTTTTGTCTTAGCTCAGGAAGGAGGGCTCCAGAGCAAACTCATTTATGCAGCAGCCAAATTGCTTGCTCACAACTTTAATGCCGGTATCTCACAAAGTAGAATTTTTGCTCACAGGACTCCAAAGATTAGAGGGAGCATTGGATGTCACTGATTTACTGCATTGTAGCCCACCTCGGGAGTCCTTGGGGCACATCAGATTTTCCTCTGCAACCTGGAAGATACACTGCTTTGCATTCTCTGATTTGAGCTAATCTATTGAGAATATTTATCTATTTTAAAAGGTTGCAACCTGTCCCGCCCCCAAAGGGTTCCAATACATTCGGGGGGCAGAAGATTCAGCAATGAGGGAGGGAGCAGATGGGCATTTGGGTCCCCCCCTCCCCCTTTGAGTTCTCCACCCGCGTTTCGGTTTTGGACACCTACTTCTTGTACTGTGAGGCATTTCCTTGGAATAAGCCACTGAGTAGGTGGACTCGAAGTAGTGGCCGAACTGAAAGGGAAGTCCAGATTTAGTGCCGTTTGACTAAGAAACTATCTAAATTAAATCATGTTGATTCTTCAATAGACAGAATATCCCCATCAACAATATCTCCATCAACAAACAACAGAGAGAGTGGAATAATCAGCTATGGAGAAAGCACTGAATCCACATTGCGTGTTTATTTAACTCTTCCTCTGAATAGCTCAGAGCAGCACAGGCGAGTCTCCCCTTTTCCATTTTATCCTCACAACAACCTGGTGAGGTCGGTTAGGCTGAGAGAGAGCGTGGCTGGCCAAAGGTCACCCACAAAGCTTCCTGGCTGATTTGAACCCAGCTCTTCCCGGTCCTAGCCCCTAACCCTAACCCTCAGGAGGTCCATCAGTGGCTATTAGCCACAAGGTATAGATAGGAACTCTCAGGCTGGGGCAAGGGATGCTCTGTATTCTTGGTGCTGGGGGGGGCAACAGTGGGAGGGCTTCTAGTGTCCTGGCCACACTGCTGGACCTCCTGATGGCACCTGGTCTTTTTGGCCACTGTGTGACAGAGTGTTGGACTGGAGGGGCCACTGGCCTGACCCAACATTGGCTTCTCTTATGTTCTTATAAGGTGCTATGTAAGGTAGGATGACCAGAACTGTTCTAATCAACCACCGTAGAGTCAGCGCTCGCTGTACGGCTGGTAATTGGCTCCTGTGTCCATCATTCCTCCATATAAGCAAGGATATTAAGACAGGCGGCCAGGGTGGATTTAAGGGCCTAGCTTACTCAGTTGATGTTATCCCGTCTGCTCGAACGCTTGGCGGAAGAGCTCCGTCTTGCAGGCCCTGTGGAATTGTGGTAGAGTGTTGGACTAGGATCCAAGAGACCCAGGTTTGAATCCCCACTCTGGCAGGAAAGCTTGCTGGGTGGATTTAAGGGCCTAGCTTACTCAGTTGATGTTATCCCGTCTGCTCGAACGCTTGGCGGAAGAGCTCCGTCTTGCAGGCCCTGTGGAATTGTGGTAGAGTGTTGGACTAGGATCCAAGAGACCCAGGTCTGAATCCCCACTCTGGCAGGAAAGCTTGCTGGGTGACCTGAGGCCAGGCACGCCCTCTCTGCCTGATCCACTTCACAGGGTTGTTGTGAGGCTAAAATGGAGAACGATGCACGGCACTTTGGATCCCCATTGGGGGGAAAAGGCAGAGTTCAATGCAGAAAAATCATATACGTTTCAAAGCTGAAAGCGACTTGCCCAAGATTGCACTGAGCATCCTGGAGGACCCAGTATCTGAACCCAGGTCTTCCCAGTCCAGTGTCGACAACCTGTCTCCTTATTAGCTCTCTCAAGGGTGTGCTTTAATCATCCACCACATTAGAAAAGAAATTAAATGTGAAATGCTAGAGGATGACGCATTCCAGCCCCCCCCCCCTTTGCAAGCTTAGGAGCCTGGTGGTTGGATGCTCTTACCTGGGAAGGGAGAGGTTTGGGCTGCAGAACTCTCCGGATGTCGTAACGGTCCTGATTCCAGTTACCCAGCAGAGTTTTGTTCGAGTAAGAGTCCTCGTTGGTGGTGCACCTCCAGCCATACTGGGAGAACTTGGACGTGCTGTTCCAGTCTGCCCACACTTCCCCGTGGCCGTTGGCGTGTAAGAGACAGCCATGGCGAGGGTTAAAGAAGCAAGAGAGGGACATGACCTACGGAGAAAATGGGAAAGGGGTGAACTCCAGGTGAACTGGAGATCCGTTGTAATCCTGGGAGCTCTCCGGCCACCACCTGGAGACTGGCAACCCTAAACTAGTCTGATGAGGACTGAACATGCTTCAAGAAGAATGCTGAGATGAACTCAGAGGCAAGGAAGAGGAAAGCTGCCCAAGCCCTGAATTAAAAAAAAAAATACTCCCTCGAATGGAGTGATGCTTGTTGCCCTCCGGATTTTGAGAGCAACTGAGGGACAAAAAGTGTGCAAGCCCCCTGGGGAAATGGCCTCCACAGGTTTAGCAATCCCAAACCCTTCGGGGTACCAACCACAGCATCAGTTCTGACCTAGGCGGTTTGTTATCTCTGTGTCATTCCTGCTCAGCCACACATTTCAGATTCGAGAAAAGTGCTGAGCACGACATGTTGACACAATGGAACCGTCAGTGTCCCTTTAGGACAGTGCCCAGAATCTCTTCAGTGTGAGTGACCCCAGTTCACGATAAGAATACCCTCTCATATCTGCAAGTCCATTGTTTTCTGAGTACAAGGAACAGAGGATTATAGTGTTACGTGGGAGACGGCACGGCAGAGGGACTAAGCAGTGATGGCGAACCTTTTAGAGACCCAAGTGCCCAAACTGCGACCCAAAACCCACCTATTTATCGCAAAGTGCCAACACGGCAATTTAACCTGAACACTGAGGTTTTACTTTAGAAAAAACAACTCATACATTAACTTAAGATGATCCAAACAAAGTAAGGAAAGCAATCCCAAATGCTTTCATTTACTTAAAATTATTTGGCAGAGAATTCGACACTTTAATGATGGTCTGGGCTTGGCTGGGGCGATGGCATGTGTGCTTGCAGAGAGGGCTCTGAGTGCCACCTCTGGCACCCGTGCCATAGGTTCGCCACTACTGGACTAAGGGAATAAGTGGCGGTCCAGGAGGCTACTTGCCAGTTAAAACCCCATCTCAGTTGCAAACTCACGAGGAGGACAGACGAACCTCACCCGCCACCCGCTATCTAGAAATAATGATAGTGGCCTACCTTACTGGGGTGCTGTGAGGATTACAACACAAAGTAGGTGACGTGCTTGGAAAACAGAAAGCACTGCACAGGTTTACATTAAGGAGGAGATTAATTTTCTCTTGCGCCAATGCTAAGCACTGATATAAAAGAATTTCTATCGTGAAGAACGCTACTTATTTATTTATTTATTTATCCTTAGATTTGTATCCCGCCCTACCCCCAAAGGCTCAGGGCGGCTAACAAGGGCACAAAGGGCCAAGATTAAAACCATAAAAACACTCTGTTTCAACCTAATAAATGCTTAAAATGGAGGGGAGAGTGAAAAATGGAAGGGGGAATGCAGAAAAGTGTCCTCAAAACAAACCACGGCATTGCTCATAAGCACCCTATCGGGGTCCAATGGCTGAAGACCATTCCAGGCTGAGTCCAGGGGCACCTTCAACGCTAACAGAGTTTTATTCTGGGTATAAGCTTTCATGTGCACATCCACTGTTTCCGGTATCTGAACAAGTGTGTGCGCACACGAAAGCTATACCCAGGCCCTGGTCACACGGGCCGGATATCACGCGCGGGGGGGAGGAGGCGTGGCTAATTGCCCAGGGACAGTTTCATGCGTGATTACATGATTAGACGCGCCGGCGGCACACCACGGGTCCTTCCCTGGGCGCTGGCGGGTAAACGAGGGACCGGAGGGGAATGCCGCGCTCCGGCGCGATCACACCACAGGCGTCTGGAGGCAGCCCGTGGCAAAC